ATTCATAGATTGCGGTTGTCTCTTAAATTGAAAATACGCCACTTGACTTAAAATTTTTTATAAACCTCTGGGTATAGTTTTCTGGATAGTGTTTGCATATCATTTTCAGAGAATTCGTTGCTCAGGGAAAGATTAAGTCCTTAAGCAATCTTACACCAAGTATATTGAAAGAGGTGATGAAACCCGAAAGCAAAAGGCACTTCATTAAAAAAAAATTTGAGCAAATTCGAAGATTATACATTTTTCAATTACCGTATATTTCCATATAGTATAAGCGAAGGGATTTTTCGCAAAGTGCTTACTGCTGAAGTTTTTGATTGGCCTTATAATACGAATTCAAATGTTATCATCCTCCATTTCTTCATTACCATCGATATCATTTGTCTCAAAGATAATGACGTTGTTTTCGTGGGTATCCTTCCCGTATCAGAAAAGAAGAATCGTACTTTACTCGCAAATGCGAAAGCGTAACTGAAGGGGGGGGAATCCTGTGATTGCTTGAGATTGGGGCAACTGAGAACCAAAGTAAAATTCATCACGCTGCTACCAAAAGTGTTGACGATTACCAAACCGCTATTACCAAAATTCTGGAACAACTGAGAAAGAGAAGCTATTCAGACCAAAAGTCCCCTTTCTTTCAATGTTTTATATTTCGAATGGAAACCGATGGTGAATTGGCATTTAGAATCAGCTTATCGGATAGGTCTAGATAGATTACACAATAAATTAGCCCTTTGGACGACACATATGTTTGGATTTATTAGACAGTTTTAAATTCGGTTTATGTATGGATTTGAATTTTGGTTCAAGTTTGGACGAAGTTTTGCAAACAAACTATTACGCCTCGATTTACACACAGATTAGTTTGGAAATATACGCTACGTATTTTTTCTATAGGTTAAAGAGTTTATAGCTAAAGTAAAATTTGCCGTTAGAGGTTTGTTAAGGCTCAGAGTATAGAGAGTAGTGATTTAGAGAATATTGAAACATTTGGGGAAAATATCTTGTTCTGTGATCCTCATTAAGAATAGTATGACTTAAGTGCACTTAGTGGTCTAATGTATGAATACCGTGTGTTCATTTGTGGAGCAAAATGGGCTTGAGCATGTAAGGTTTAACCTAACTGCCTTTTAACTGCAATAATATCCCTTTGCTTCTAACGAATTGTAGCCTGATGCATGCTTACCTAGAATTCTAATTTTCATGAACTCAGATAGAACATAAACCATATTTTATAGATATAATTAATTTTAACAAAATTTATCTACCTTTGTTTATGGGGTTTTAGAACTCCAATATGTGTATCTTAACAAATAGCTTTGGTGCCTAAATAATCTGGCTTCATTTATTAATAACTTCTAAATCTCAGCGTCACAAATGCAGGAAATCACTCATCAAAAATCAGATCGGTAAGCAGATGGACAACTAGCAAAACGAAATAACCTGCATTCTTACGCACTGCCAAAACGCATATATAGTATATATAAACTGTACATTTGCTAGCTATTTAAACTCCTCCAGTCTTTCTCATTCTTTGCCGTGAGTTTGTCAATGGCCTGACATCAAGAGTTTGGGCAGCAATGCTTTGGCTTATAATTTTAAAACAGCGGATATGGTTTTGAGCGACAGGATGAAATCGTCAGAGAATGTTAGACAATTATGCTTTACGAATAGGCAGGAATTACAACTAAATAACTTAAATTTCAATACATCTTTAACCTAAACTTTTTGATAGGAATTCAACTATAATATCCTTATTTAAAATGATATTCAACAAAATAATTTTTACCATTTTTTTTCCGCATTTGTATTATCACATTAAATAAATTCAAAAATCTTCCTCCAGATATTTTGTATATATTGTTTATGTGTAAATATCCATCAAATATTCTAATAAATAAAGGGTTACATTTTGAAACAAATTTATAGTGAAATAAATCTGATGTTTGGCTATGCTAAATTTTATTTTTTATCTTACATAGTCAATTAATTTACTGCGGTTTATTCGATTTTTAATCGTTCAGTCGTTCGTAACAAAGAGGTAAACAAATGTTTTTACATTATGGTCACAGCCATTGATTACCATTTCATATTCATTCGATTTTCATGTAAAGTTATAATTCTGTACTTATAGGTTTATGTCAAAATCAAATTTCACAGGCCTTATTTCACATCGATCATCATCACACTGTATAACATCGATTAAATATAATTTCCTGAACAACTTAAACACCAATTATTCATATTTATAACATTTAAGCTTACATAAAATTTTGAAATAAACACTTTCTTTTATAAAATACACATTTAGGAAACATAGCTGTATAATATAATCAGGGTGTTTCATAGATCATGGGACAAACTTGGAGGGGTGGTGGAGCGTACTAAAACATGCATTTTTTTATAGGAATGTAGGGTCTAAAGTGACGGGTTAAGGCAGGAACGCAAAAAAACGACTCGAAAGGAAAACGTGTTTATGTACAAAATCAATATATAGTGCTTCTTTGTAGCAATTCACAGTATTCAGTACAATAAATACAATTCTGTAAATTTGCAAATAAATGTTCAAAATTGACCACCAGCACTAATACATGCTTGGTAACGTCGCACAAGGGACTGACGAACATTTGGAAAACGACAGGCATTTCGCGCAAGCTTGCAGCCGCAATGGATAGTCGTGCAACGAGGTCCTCCATTGAGTCAACTGGAGTCTCGTAAATGATGCTCTTCAGATGGCCTCCATAAAAAAATCCAAGCTGGATAAATCTGGCGAACGGGGTAGCCATCGAACGGGTCCACCACGGCCAATCCATCGGCCCGAAAATGTCCCATCCAAGTAATTGCGGACCCGCACGTGGTTATGGCCTGGTGCACCATCATGCTGGAAACACATGCGATCACGAACGACAGCCGGAACATCCTGCAGCAATTCCGGTAGCACCTCTTGCAGAAAAATATGATAACATAAGCCAGTTGTACGTGCAGGTAAGAGGTATGAGCCTATGGGGTAGTCGTTAACAATACCCGCCCACACATTCACGAAGAAGCGGGTTTGGAATGCATGTGGACGTGTGCCGTGTGGATTATGAGTTGCCCACATGTGAATGTTGTGGCTATTGAAGATGCCGTCCTGTGAGAAAGTTGCCTCGTCCGTGAATATCACATCCGATGGGAAATCTGCCTGCGCCGCACACAGCTGCAAGAACTAATGACAGAAATGAACTCGAAGAAGGTAATCTGTCTCTTGCAAGGCTTGAACTCTCTGCAAATCGTATGGGAGCAAACCATTTTCATGAAATACTCCAAAGGTGAAATACTTCCAAAAGGTGGACTGACTCAGCTGCAGACGACGTGCAATAGCTCTTGTACTTGTCTGAGGTCAGTGATTCATGCACAATGTTCAAGATAGATTCTTCAATGCGAGGTTGTCGTGCATTGTTTCTTCCACTCCTAGTGTCAGAGGTGGTTTCAAATGACCCGTTTTCACACAGAGACCGATGCAACCTCTCGAACATTGTGTGCTTCGGCATACGCCTGTTCGGAAACCGTTCCAGGAACAACCGTAGCGCTGCTCTGCCATTCCCATTAGCAGCATCATACACGAGATGCATGTCAGCCTTCCCTGTGCGTAAACTCACCCATCACGCTCGACATCTGAGTTGCGAATGATCCTCTGATGCATTGGATCGTGGTTTGTCCGGCCAACTACCGCCCTCTACCACTGCATTGCCAGCCAATCACAGCTGTAGTTCTTATTACTGTTAATGTTCCCTTTTTTGAACATTTATTGTGAATACTGTATTGCTGCAAAGAAGCCCTTTGCGTTGATTTTGAACATAAACACATTTTCCTCTCGTGTCGTTTTTTTGCGTTTCTGCCTTAACCCGTCACTTTAGACCCTACATTCCTATACAAAAAAGTGCATGTTTTAGTACGCTCCACCACCCCTCCAGATCTGTCCCATGATCTATGAAACACCCTGTATTTAAATAATGTTCAAGCCACTTTACTAAAAATTAAATATTTTTACACAATAATAATTTCTTATAAGGTAAATCACTACACATAAAATTTCCCTTTTTTACAATGCAGGATACATAACGTCTCAATTCAAGAATATTGAAATTTGAAATGTAAAATGACTTGTAATAAAATTTCTCGAATCCGACTCCGAATGCTAGAAGATTCTTGAATTTCTTGAATCTTTCATATAAGAATAAGGAAAAGAAATCTTTATTTGATATTAAGAACAAGTTAGAAATTTAACTAGAGCAAAATTTGAAATGGGCGTTTATTGAAGAATAAAGTTTAAAAAATATTACACTTACTTTTAATTAGTAATTTGTATCTTTTAAGATACAAACAGAATTTAATAAATGAAATACATAATTAAAAGTTTAATCTTGTGATACATTTTATGAACATGCTTTAAAAATATTTGAATAATAGCCCAATTCTTCACAATTTTCTTTTTTAAATTATAACAGCAGAAACACCAGCAGAAAAAATATTTAAAAAAATTTTCTTTTTAATAGTTCGTGAAAGCAAATTTGCACTGTTGCGTTTACGAGTACCTAAAAGAACCAAAGTGTAAGGAATATTGCAAAAATTGTATTCGTTTTTTTAAGAGCATTTATAGCAATTTCAAAAACTATTCATTACAAAATTTTGAGTAAAAGATTAATTTTTTAAAAGTTCGTTTTAAAATGTTTAAACAAAGTCGAAAAAATATTAAGTTTTCGAAAATGCAAGGATTTTGAACCTGGAGTCCTTTTTAAAATTTATACAGTTCACGGATTCGAATGCCCTTCCCTTTTAAATACCTTAAAATATAAGGCTATTGATAACATGAACTATATCATAAGATGTAAATTTCAGCTTATTTTAATGCAATATTCCATTCTTTATAAAGATATGTTATACATAATGATATCAGATACAAAGAAAGAAATTCGACGCGTATTTAGAAGAGACATTAAGTTTGAAACAGAATAACTTACTTCTCTTAAACGCCCAAGATCTTTATCCTTAGCTTCTAATATATTTTCTAAATGTTTTGCTCTGGCTTCGCTTTCGAATAACTTCGTTTTAAGTCTTTCTATTTCTTTTCGTTCTTCTTCTATCATCTTGTTACCTGTGATACAAAAACAGTTATTCAGTTGGTTAAGAATTTAAGCAAAAATACAGCCAGTGTGATTTACTATAAAATTAAGAGTGAAATTTGAACTTCACTGAAATTTAATCGCGTAAACTAAATATATTTATTATTAGATATGAGATTATTAGTTTCATAATTTTTTTAGGAATACACATTGAATTCCTGCATATATTTTAGAGGTGGGAACGAATAATGGAAATTGTGTGTTATCTATTTTAATGTAAAATGTGTTTCCAGTTAAATGTAATACTTGATCTAATTAAAACTGAACTTTTAAATAAAAAAGTAGCTTTAATGTAGTACTTTGCGTTTCCAATTACATTTTATCTAAAAATGAAAACGAATTTTGCCCTGAAATGGCACCTTAAAATAAAGTTTACTGCTGGAAATTAGATTCCTTGCTTCAAAACATGAGTTATTGCATTAATATGAATTATTCTGATACATGCATAATCTAAAATAGAATAATAAAAAGCAATAATTGAGTCCAAAAAACCTTTTTTTTTTAAAAAAAACCTTTTTTAGACCCAATTATTGTTTTTAACTTCACTAAACAATATAACTTTTATTATTCTATTTTAGATTATCCATATATCAATATAAAATATAAAACTTCTATCTTTCAAATAAAAAACTAATAATAGCTCTTTAACTCCTGTCTTCATTCTAAAAATAACAGAGAAATAATTGTTCTAACTAAACTAAAAAGATCCGTCATCTAATCTGTGTTGCGCACTTATCTATGAAATTTGAACTCAACATCTGGACCGTAATCTGTCATGTGATCTGAAATGGAATTCGATATAAAAGCTAATTGCGTCGCAACGCCTCCTCTCTTCTTTCTTCAGCTTCATTTTGCTGTATAGCTTTGTTGTTTAGCCACACAGAGTTTACTTTCCCAATTTTCGTCCATTCTTTAAGAAATGAAGGCTGTATAAAATTGTGGGGTGCATAGCGCACCCATAGTGATGAGGTGCATTATCAAGGAATATTATTATTTGGTAATGGCAAAGCACTCTAGGGCTATTTACCTAAGAGGAGCGAGGCTTTTGTGAAGGACGTTTTAAAGGAAATTGGCTTGGACAAGCTTAACACGTGAGAAAACTATGAAAACGCCCTTGCAGTCAGTTTGCCCGAAATCGAACTCAAATCGAAGTACCAGTGTTCAGCCACTTTATCGCACGGCAGTTAGTGGTCGGAGAAATGAAAGCAAAACTGAGTGGAATGACAGGAGACAAACTTGAATAGCAACATAGGACTACAGAAAGTAAGAAGTAAAATCAAATTGATTTGAAGATGAATGATAGGAAGTGAAAAGTATCACAACTTCATGATACAATGAGAAATATACTTCGGAAAAGATGGACAGAAGACCGCAAAAGTTGGTGAGCTATACTGAAGGCGATAAGCACTCTTGTCTTGAGTTATAAAATATGATTTTTAGTCGCTGCTTAGCCACTGTTTTGTATTTATATGCCTCTTTTGGAGCGAAGGAATGCATAAGAGGTTTTCAATTGTCTTCTGTTATTTGTAATAAGTTGTTAGACTCAAACAGACTAAAAGAGACTAAGGAAAGGAATTACCTGCTAGCTAACACTGACGAAATAGACGAAACAACGTTCTTTATCGTCCATTTTATTTTAGAAGAATCAGTTCAGCGAATGCACATTACTAACTTCTTCAGCTGCAATTAAATTAAAGAAAAGTACCACAAACAGAAACACAAATGAGTTTCTGAGAACTTATTAGTACTAAATAATAACGCCTTCGTTAATGAAGGAAAATAGAAAAATACTGAAATAAAACAAATAAGATGACTCCATCTAAATATAGAAAATTAATTCGATTAAAAGTTGTTGGATTTATAAATAGGTGGAGAATACGGATTAAAATTCATATCATTGACTTTTACAGAAAGCATGAAGTATGGAAAGCATGAAGTAAATCCAATTCACCGACTGAAAAAGTGTTTTGGATGAATTTAGTAGAACTGAAAGCAGTTCTGTTAAGATAAAATTAATGTTAAATAAAGCTGCTTAGCTATTTATATTCAGATAAACCATATTCCTACACATTCATGAAGAAATACAATTATGTAATTAATATTTGTTACTTCCTCTTTAACTGATGCAAATGTTCATTTTTGTTTTTGACAGTTGAAATACAAAGGAAGTGTTCAGTAATGGAAAAGATGGGAAAGTTAATACAATCCAAGATAATAATTACCAATTACGTAATACTAATTAATATTAATTAAGACAGCCCAAGACATACTCCTTAATTCCTCTGCTTTGGATTTATGATAGTCTCTACATATAATAAAAGAAAGAGTCTGTCTTGTGTGTGTGTGTGTGTGTGTGTCTTTCGTTAGCGCTGCTAATAGACCCACGGCTACGAAATTTGGTACAGAGGTGCATCTAGACAAGAGCCAGTGCACCTCGAACCGATTTTTTCGAAATTCGAATTCGAATTTTTTTTTTTATCTTATGTTTTGTGACGAAATTTTGAGACATAGTGGGCTATCGGAAAGCGAGATTTTACTCTACACACTCCATTTTCACATCGTCATGAAACGTAGGCACTTAGCTATTTTACGAACTTAAAATAAATTTAGTGTTTCAATAAATCGATTAAATACGAATTTATTTAACAAAGGCAGCTTAACACCTTTTAAACGGTATTTTTTCTAAAAAAGTTTATTTTTTAAAAGGTACAGTTTATTTTTCTTTGATTTTTGGACATGTTAAACTTTGATCCTTGCGACTGCTTTTACAAAAAGAATTTTGGAAAAATGATAATATTTTGTATTTTTAAAAAAATTTTTAAATGAAGCTTCTGAGTACACTTCTCACATCTTTAGAAATGTGATTTTGGCAACAATTATCCTGTCTTGTTGTTGATAGATTTTTGATGAAATCGCATCATTTTGAATAGTTTCATTCTTTTATAAATATGGGTTTGTCAACAAGTTTTCCTCGTATTTCTTATGTCACTGTTTTTAAGAGATTGGCATATTTCACTGTCATTTATATGTATACATAATACATTTTTATTGATTTTTTTAATAAACTTGTTCTGTAGAGTAAAATTCTGCGCTGAATTTTATCTTTTTTGAGTTGCTTTCATGTTATTTTTTGCTTATTTCACTGTTTGTAAGATATTGAAAAGTTTTGCATGACTTTTTTTTTCTTCAACAGAAAGTTGGCTAATTTTTTTATTAGGATAATTAATATTTGTATTAAGGAATATAGCTTATTTCATTGTAATTTTCTTCTCTTGAAAATATAAGATAAAACATCATTAATTATACTTTGATTTTCAGAATTTTTTGTTTTTTGCATTCTTTTATGTTATTTATTGCTCATTTCACTGTTTTTAAGATATTTAAAAGTTTTGAGTGATTTTTTTAGGAAACAAAGTTCTTAAACTCTTTTATACCATTTGAGTTCTTAAGATTTTGCAAAGGGAAGTTGGTTAATTTATTTGTTAGGATAATTAATATTTGTATTAAGGGATATTGCTTATTTCATTGTAATTTTGTTATACGTAATAACTATATTTTATGAAGTTCTTATGCAGAGTAAAATTCTACGCAGCTTTTAAATTTAACGCTTGGTTTTCCCTTCAGCCATTTTTCCGGTACATTTAAAAGCCAGACGAAGGCTGGCAGTGAAGCTTCTAGTATATAATACTTTATAGGTTTACGCATTTTTTAATATTAAAATATAATCATAATCATAATAGCTTGATCAAATCTAAAACGTTCAATGTGAGTAATTAAAATATCGTTATTATAAAGAACGTATTCTTTGAGAAATAATATGTTTCATACAAAAACATTTGTTTCAAATATTCGAAGGCCAATAAAACGGTTTTATAGAAATAGGTTTACGCATTTTTTAATATTAAAATATAATCATAATCATAATAGCTTGATCAAATCTAAAACGTTCAATGTGAGTAATTAAAATATCGTTATTATAAAGAACGTATTCTTTGAGAAATAATATGTTTCATACAAAAACATTTGTTTCAAATATTCGAAAGCCAATAAAACGGTTTTATAGAAACACAAAACTGATTGCATGTCTGTACAGTAATTAAAAACAAAAATTTTCATTTAATCCAAGCCTGTTCTGAATAACTATTTGCACGTAGTCACAGAGAAATGTTCACTCCATTCGCAGTTTGCTAAAGAACAAAAAATGAAAATGAAATGGAACGGAAATTCTATAAATTAGATTGCAGACGATAAAACATTATTGCGGAAACAACGAGATAAAAGTTGTTATGTGAAAGTAGAGCAAAAAGAACCACAGAGAGCTATTAAAACAATAAAATACAGTCGAATCTTTTCTGAAATCAAGGAAATGTATGTGCTTAAAAAAAGGAAGAACAAAGCGCTTGACAGCATAAATTCCTTTTATTCACAGAATATCCGCTTTAAAGCGGAATTTTCCCATATACGTTAAATGTTATCTAAATCAAATGGAGTTAGAATTTTATTATTCTCCAGTGAAATTAAATTCTAAGCTTTCTAGAAGTCTGCTACGTAATTTTTCATATTTCGTACTAAACAGTTACAAATAACCGTGCCTCTTTTTCTTGATTTTCTTCAGACATAATAAATATAACTTAAATGGCTAGAGATAATTAAATATAAATTCAGAGAATTCGTTCAAAATTACATGGCATCGACAGAAGAGATTGTACACTGCTCAAAAAAAAAAAAAGGGGGGACAGTGCTGTATCTCCCGTTCTACTGGGCCGATTGACAAAATTCAAACCTCGTTTTTCATGTCTCGAAAGCGCGACTTAGGATTATGATATTAGATTTATGCATATAGCATTGTTCTAACATAGGTATTTTGACACAAAATCCGGACTTTTTCTGAAATGACATACCATTTTGTTTTTCCATATTTCGATTCTATGACGGCTCAAATTATGCCAAACTGACTAAATTTTGTAAAAAATCGCACGAGTAGTTTTTAAAAAATATTAGCTCTCAAAAATTTTAGCTCCTCAATGTTAATTGAATTTGGCAAATATTTATTAATATCTCTTTTTACATTAAACTTTTTTGATTTTTCTCTCACATTTCGAAATTTAGGTTCATTCCAAATAAAATTCACCCTTTTTTGTGTTTTATTTTTTAAATTTCTATTTTTAAATAATTTTTATAAATTTTTCGAAAAAAATTTTGAATTATAACCTATCAAATTTTTACCATCATCTTAAAGTAGATGTATTTCTAAGCATAAAATACCTGCAAAAAATTAGACTTTTTTATTCAAAATTTTCTAAGATATACACGAATTTACATATTTTCGAGTTTTGAAATTTGGCATCTTTTTTTTTTTTTTTTGAGCGATAATAACGCCAAATGTGGTCTATGGATTTTTGTTACAGTGAACTTGCCACAGCTATTTTTAACCTTAAATTTCAAGTAAAATTTTACGGAGAATTAATTATATGAGATTTTTTCCCTCAATGATGCGTAATAAATATTTATAAATACTATATGAGAAGCTATTTAAAAAAAATACAGATGATATTATTCAAATTTTTAACTTTTTTTTTTTAATTTCTCTCTATCTTCCTTTAAAAAAAAATAAGAGTAAATTTTTGTAAGAGTAAATATTTACCTTCGGCGTTTTATCGTCTGCTACTTTACTTCGTTTAAATCGAATTGTCTAAAACTGAGAATTTTCGTTTGATATTTATTTGAATTTTATGACATTAACTGCATAATTTATTTCTAAACAAACTGTTGCTTTTGAAGTGGCTGAAAGAGCGGCTGATATTTTCATCCACATTTTTAAAGCACAGTATATTTTTATAGAAACATAAGATTTAGAATAATCATTTTTATAAAAGTCAAATTATGATATAAACATACAACCCTCTAGAGACTGAATTAATGGACGTTCAATGGTTATATAGAAATGATCTGCAGCTACTTAATGGCTAGATAAGTCAGCATGTTCTGTGGACAAGTAAGAATAATTATATAAACGACACCCAACATTCCGGATTCAATTAACAACGAGGATACGATGTTTATTAAATGAATTTAAGAAGTTTTAAAACATAAAATATCAACTAATTTTTTATCCTAAAATGTATTTTTGTGCGTAGCGTATTTTCATTATATCCTTAAAATTCTAATTTAGAATGTAATTGTTAAGAACTGAATCCTAATCATCAGTAATATAAGTAATTATTACGGTTATTAATAAATCCTTCTTATAAAGTAATTGCAAATATTTTAAAAAAACTTTCTGTCTGAATGAAAATATTTTTCTATGCAAATATTTTTAATTTTATATTAATCAAGATTGCACACGACATTATTTATTTACACTTCAATTCTTACCGTCAGCTCTTGTAGAAGTTACAAATCAATTATATTTAATTAAGGATTGGATTGGATTGGATTGGATTGGATTATTTAATCATGGCAAAGCACACGAGAGCTATCTGCCTAAAGGGAGGGATGCCTTCGTGAAGGACTTTCTAAGGTAAACTGGCTCGTATACACGTTACACATGGGGAAAACCACGGAAACGCCCATGCAACCAGCCCATTTACCGGGATTCGAACCCTGGAGTGAATTACCAGTGTTCAGCGACTTTACCGCTCGGCCGTTTATGGGCCTTTATGAAATGAAAGGCGATAACTTTATTCAAAATTATTGTTAGAAATATCAAGATATTTCGAAACGTTGGATGCTTTTTAATATACTTGTAGAATGCCTAAAGAAAAAGACCAAGAGTAAAGTAGAATGCCTGAAGAAAAAGAGAAGAAAAAAAAATTTTTCGAATTTAGTATTAGTATTTTTTAAAATTTAAAACCTTTTAATCTTATGATATTTGATCTTGCGATTTCAGAAATAAAATATTTGACTAAATATGAATAACATTTTAAGAAACCAAATGTAGGATAAATTGTGTAAAGCAATGGGCACAATGATAAAAAGTTGTAAGCAGTTTTGCAAGTCAATCCTAAGTTAAAATGTCGGTTATACATCTCTCTTATTTATATATATCTTTTCTGAACGGGAATTTTTTTGTGTGTGTGTGATTATGGCAAAGCCTCGAGGGCTATCTGCCTAAAGGGAGGGATGCCTTTCGTGGAGGACTTTCTAAGGGAAACTGGCTCGTATACACGTTACACATGGGGAAAACCACGAAAACGCCCATGCAGCCAGCCCGTTCGCGGGATTCGAACCTCGGACCGAACTACCAGTGTTCAGCGACTTTACCGCTCGGCCGCTGGTGGGCTCTTTTCTGAACGGAACATTGAAAGACGTGTTAACTGTGCTTTACTGTATTTTCTCTTTTAATATATGCAGTTTTCAAATGCATCGTTGTCTGGGTTACAAAGTATTCTTCCGAATGAAACGCAATTCAAATAAATTAAATCAAAGTTTGAAAAATTTATATTAAAAATGCTCAGTTCAAAGGAATAAATAGAAAATTTTAAAACAATTATCTGAAGAGACAATGCAACATAAACAATTAAAATAAAAGTATAAAAATTTAAAAATTACCTAAAATAATAACTATGACAAAAAATATATGTAAAGAAAACTATTTGAAAAAATAAACGCTGCACCTTTATTTACGCAGTTCGAATAGGTAAATAGTAATTTTTAAAACAGTTATTCGAAAAAAAAAAAAAAAAAAAAAAAAAAAAAAAAAAAAAACATGCAACTTGAACAATTAAAATAAATTCGAAAAAGAAAAAAAAATACTTAAAATAATAAGTTATAATTAAAAATATAATATAAAGAATATTATTTGGAAAAAAGGAACGATGGTGACTTTTTTTCCTCTCACGGGAAAGGAAACTAGGTTGCCATATATTAAGAAGTTCGCCAAGTGAACTATTCTTGGCGCAAACTGAAAAAAAAATTTCCAACATAAATTTGTGAATTTCTCCGTAAATTTCACTCCAAATTTTACAAAATTTTTAAAAATTAGGCCTCGTTCAGAAACCTTCCAAAATTAAGTGGACCTAATGTAAATAAAGCACCAAAGAATTGACAGGATTCAAGCTTCTACCAGAATGTTATATGAAGAACCGTGTGCTTTAAATATTATAATCCATTAAATATTATCTTGAAAATGAATTTGTTAATTTTAAACTTAATTATAAACTCGGTTTTGTTATATGAATCAAAAGCTTAGAAGCTGAAGCAAATTTAAAAACAAAATGAGAATTATTTCTATAAGATATTTCTCCGTACAATATTAAAGATTGCTTGGACATAAAGACCATATCTAACACCAAATATATACGGGAAAAAAGAACATATATTAAGAATACCAGTCCAGACCAACACAGACATGTGTCCTCAAGAGAAAGGATATTAGGACGCGTAGCCATAAGGCTGACAGCAACTAAAAGGAAATCGGAAGATGAGATGAGCAAAGCTGAATGGTATGGGCTTAGAGACAAAGTGCGGAAACAGCATTACACTCCAGGGGATAAACTATAAGACTGACTGCTTATGAGCTAACCTGGCGTGAAAAGAATGATGATGAATTAATAACAAAATGTATAATTCTATCCCATTCCATCATGCAGCACTAAACATGATCACAGATACTGATTTGATATAAATAACTGGATTAAAATATACAGCCTGTTCATAAAAGTCATTACGCGAACTTTATTTTCGCAACTATTCGTTGTAGACTCATACTACAAATTACATGAATTCATTAAATAAGGAAAAGAAACATGCTGTGGCATTACTGAACGAACATAATCAATTTTGTAAAAAATACAAAATTTACATCTTTTAATTAGCCCCCTGATTATATAGTTACCTTTAATAAAAGCGATATATAGTGTTGGGTAAAATCGTATCTAACTTATGATAAATTACTCTCATCTTTGCAGGACAATGTCTGAAACTGCAAACTGTAATGCAAGTACACTGCAACCTGAATATAGTCTTAATTTACAAGTATCAGATTTTATACTTACCCATTCCTTTCGTTTGCAGCATTTCCATTAACTTTTTGATGCTTTCCTCTCGGGCTGCCAACGTTTGCTTCTGCGTCTCGATTCGCATTTCTAGTTCCTTAAAAGGATTATCACAACTATACATAGCATCACAGAGAGAGAATTATATCACATTTTAGTTTCTGCATAAGAATTTGGCAACACAGCTTCAATAATAAAAGACAAAATAGTAGTTCACATTAAAAAAATGGGAACCATCAATCACCTCTCATTTTTATAAAACGTTTCATGCAAATACATCATGGAGTATACAAGGATACGTATAAACTAATATTCACTAATTAACAAATGTCGTCTACACTAAGTAACTGTACAAGCGTATCAAACAAGGTTTTTTAAATAAAAAGTTTAAAAGAAAATTCCAAATTTTTGTATGAACCCCGCGTAGTAAAAATTTTGATTAGTGAAATATTACGCTTTAATTAGTTAGAAAAAACTTCGTGCTTTTAATTTTATTATGTATTCGAAAAGAACATTTATAAGGAATTATTATCCCCGTGCGTGATCTCGGGATGCAAGTGGTCAGCATATCCAGCTCGCAAATAGAAGATTTGTGGCTTAAATTTATGCGAGGGCAAAGTTGAATTTTTATGTTATTACCTCCAAAAGCCTCATAATCTCTGTAATAATGCCTCAAGTAAAACGAAGTGGTTGATAAATTCGTTACTATTTGGATTTGGTGGATTGGATCTCGTGCCTTTTCCGAATGTTTTAAGTGAGATAGAATATAAAGACTTAATGCTTTCGTTAAGCGTGCTGCCAAAGTATAAGTGTTTAATAAGTTAGTGAATGGTTTCAATCTCGGCCAGGGTACATTAGATTTTACACATTTCCCTCTTTTATTCTTTACAGTCCTGAGGATTTAAATTCAAGAATTCTGAAACAAATTTAGGCAGTAACTTATTGATTTTTGTCACGAGTAGTTCTATTTTAAAAAAATGCGTTCATAAATTAATTTGTAGCTAGCTTCTTATCTTATTAAAATCATTTTTAAGAGTATTTTCGTAAATTTAGGCTTAACGACATATAAGTTTTACGTTTTTAATTAATTAAAGCGTAATGAGCATTCCTTAATTAGTGATTTCGAAACACATGAAAAAAATAATTTTTATTTTTAGATAAGTTTTCCGACTCATAATTTTCAGATAACTGTCATAATAAGTAATCTAATTTTCAAGTATAAACTTAATATAGATTATAGAATATTACAATAAATAATAAATACATATAAAGCATTACATGTAGAATAAGCTTACATGGTAAGATTCTATAGAATTCCATTTATTTCCCAAACCTCTTTCTATTTTAATGAAAATATTAATACGTATCCTTGCAAATTTTTTTATTTGCAGTCTTAGTGTCCAGGTAGAGAGGTTTCATATTAATGAAGGAATCAGCGTAAAAGGGAGCAAAGAACATTATTATACTTCATAAAAGTTACTATATAAATATATACATCTCTTGATGATCGTTTTCAAGCAGTTCGAATTTTGGATGCAATTAAGATGTTTTTCCGAATTAACTTAATTCTTATTTTAACAGTGATTATTAAACAATTTCATCCTGGTTTAGGAGCAGACGCAGGTTTTAATTTTTGAATATGTCTAAGGCTACTCTTGGATGACAACTATAAAATAATATCAACATTCACGGTTTTCGTTCTCTGCTCATTATATTTGAGTTATTAAGAGTTTTTTGTTTTTGATTAGCTGCCAGGTAAAAATTTCTTTTATTCGTATTTGCTGTTCATAAGGTCGTGAATTTATCACATTCCTTATATTACTTATATTAATCGTAGCAGCAGAAGGCGCACTTTTAATGAATCATTACTGTAAGTATTTAATTTTTATTTGATATTGGCTTATATCTTATATTAGAAAAGGCGAAGGGGAAAAATGTATATGCCGTGAACGCACTCAGCTGATCAATCTTCACATTTACAGAGTTTCAAGTGTTGCCATACTTTTTTTTATGTTCACTATACTATTTATATTTGGGATGTAAATTTATGAAGTTATCAGAAGCAAATTCTCCGAATATCTTCATCAATTTACAAATTGTTACTACATGTTCCAAATTTCCAAATTTTCCAAATTTTTGGTAAATTTTTTGCTCTTCTGGTATGTTTATTCACAAAGTTTATATAACAATTAATACATAAAAATACTAACTCAGTACTTGAAGCAATGGAAAATATCAAAATATTTAATTTAATTATTCTTTGTTTTCATGTTGAGGGCGGCAACGATTCTTAAAACAATGTAACATGAAATCCTAAGTTTTAAGACTTTTATTTTCGAAAACAGGTCAGATGTTATAAAAGGAGCTATAAGGCATAAGTTACCTTCTTTAATTATTATTTTTGGTTCCTTCCGTTATTATTTTCAGCGCTAGCAGTGACATCAGCATCTTGGTTATTATGATTAATAGAGGCCAAGAAAAAGAAATAGCAAGGAAGGAAGAAGAGAGAAGAAAAAAAAAAAAATGTGTGTGGCTTGGACGCACTTTTTTTTTTTTTTTTGCTGATAATTGTTTACATTTAAACCTAAATAATTTAAATCTAACCTTAGTAATGTTTTCGAAAGTTAGAGTGATCAAAAACAATCTGAATGAGCAGTCAAAAAATGTAAGTTATTTATGTGTGCTCGACGAGTCGACGAGTATGCGTCAACACTGAGCAGTCAAACAAATTTAGTTCTCTCAGTGCGCTGGTCGAGTTACCATCAATATTAACATCTTAAAAACAATTCGAGTCACATTATTGAGAATTTTAAACAATGGTTGAACACTGGGAAAAGCACAGGTACGTTGGTTGGCCATTTTAATTTAAAGCATTATTCGATTCTTTTAAGAATCAGAGGTTTACTGGTATATGCATATATATATACACGAGTACTTTAAAAACATACTCGTAAATATACTGGTATTGTATACACAAATATATATACCAGTATGTTCTTAAAGTACTCGTATATATACTGGTAATATCGAATAGTCCAGTACGAGTATTTTTTTTTAATTTATCGTACTACTGCTGTTTTTAAAGAAAAAGGTGCACCCAGAAATTGTGTTAATCTGCTAAATTTTTGTTCTACATTTGTGTCGAGTTAACAGTTAGAAAGCGAAACACTGCTGGTTGAAAGAAACTTGTGAAATTTAGAGAATTCTTTTACAGATTGCCAAATTAAAACAAAAGAGAAAGTTTAAGATAATCTATATATAATTCTTCTCGGATATTAAACTGAGATGCATATAATACTCGCCCTTTTACAAGCTGAACAGCACAAACAGGAAGAAACATCGCCCTAAAAATATTGTCAAAACAAGAAAGGTTAATTTTGCCAGCAGAGAACTTACGGCTCCTGAAGTAATATATTTATTATACGTATATACTTATCTAATACGTATATACTTCGTAAGTTTGGCCTTATAATATTTTTTATAAAGAGATAAATCCAGTCGGGCTGTGGTGGCTGCACTAGGGACTTTACACGCAAAGTAGACGGTAAAATCGAAATTAATTGTTTCAAGTTTAATAGATGACTATTATTTAGTATTTACAAGAAATCACAAACATGAAAATGATTTCTGGATAAAAAATTCGATCAGCAATTGAATCCGTCTTCAAAAGGGACAAACATTTTTCATTAGTGTTTATAAAAGTTTTCTGACTTACAGAACATATAGGTAAAAGTAAACTGAGGTAGAAGGCAGGGAACTAAAGCACGGAACATGATGTTTGAAAGCTAAGTAAAATCAAGGGACGCAACATGTCTTTTAGAGTCTATTCATTAGCTAGGTACTAAAAAGCTCTTAAACTGTCTACTATTAAAGTTTCCCATTTTTTACAACATGAAGCCATCGCCCTACCTTAATGGTTTCCCTGAGAAGGTAAATCTCTTTCGTCATATGTTCTTTTTCTGCGTACAAAGCTTCTAGATGCTGTATGTCAGCGTCAGGATTCCTTAGATGGGCCATCCTCAGTTCTTCTTCCAATTGCTGAATTAAGGCAGCTTGTTTCTAAACGGAACAATTAATTTTCAAGACATTAGTTAATTTTCAGTTATATAATAGCTACGTTTAGTGTATAATATTTTTATTTCTTTTATATTTTGTATGTTTTTATATAAAGGCCTTTATTGTTACAAATAAATAATACAATAATGATGCAAGGTATAATAAATTCAGAAATTGACAAGGCTATATTAATTTAAGTTGGGGAATCTTTTGATACTCTGTGAAAATCTACTACCTTAAGAAAAAACAAAATTGGAAATTTTCATAAAAATTAGCAATTAGCTTTAATATAATATACTTATAATTTAATCACAACCAGTTAGGCCCGTTATTAAAAAATTAATAATTATTTAAATTATCAAGAAGGCTGTTTATAGCGTTTAATTCTCCCAGATTTTCAATCAGAAACACATTGACTAAATTTGAAAAATAAATTAAAGATCTTATGGTTTGCAGTATGATAACGCACTCAGAATCAGACATGCACAAGAGCTGCACGGGAAGGATAATCTGAATGTCTTATTTTTCTCTCATCTGTCAGTTATGAGAGTCCTTCTCATCCGTTAGTTTCTGAAGCATAGTAATATCTTTATATTTTATTTTTTCAGGACCGAATTTTATTCATAAGCTGAAAGCAATACATGTCCGACGAGTTGCAAAGAATTTGCTAACCTAGAAAAATCGTTTAACATGCAAGAGTGTATAACAAGTATGAAATGTAAGAACTTTTACGCAGGTATAAGTGATAATAAGTATCACAACTAATGCATTCACAGAAAAGGTACAAGGCGCACTGAAAATGAATGTATATTTACACTATAAAATATATTGTTGCGTGTGTACGGGTTCGTAATGGAGTGAATGTACTGGAATCAATGATAACTTGATAAAATTAATTTTCCCAAAAGGAATTTGCAGTTCTGGAGCTTTCCCAAAAGTACTCCAACAGCTCTTCTCATTAGAATCAGTTGTTACCGCTTCAAACTACTAAAACCATTTACACAACGCAATGCAAAGCGCATCTAAACAGCGAAGCTAGCATGAAGATCTCTCAGTACTCCGAAGTCAGCTCTGAACTAAACACTGAGCACTGATGTTCTCTCCGGCCTTACATAGTTTTACCGGCCGCCAGGAAATATCTAATACCTTCCATTACTCAAAAGTACTAGAAGGCATATACTGCTAAAGATACACATAGGAATCAATTACAGTTATTCAATTATAATTATCCCTGAACCAGACCAAATAACGCCATATGTTTGCCAAATCTGGCAATTTTTAAAGATTTCTTGCCAAATTTGGCGACAAAAATTAGTCGTCAAAGCCATCCCCAGGTTGGCAATATGTCGCCAATTTAGCGAGATAGTCATTCACCAGTGTTAAATACACTTGCCTCTGTAATCTTATTTTTTTCCGCAGAGCTTCGTCTCTTGAGGCAATTTATGTTACATTATGCATAAGATACTATAATTTTACATATTTTAACTAAAATTAAATGAATGATTACATTGCTCGGCCTTTTGTGTGCGCAATTGGTCTGCTTAAATAGGTTCATGGCAGTTCTACTTGCGTTAGAAAATTAAATCCCTCGAAGCCCCACCGGAAGACAGTGCAGCTTATATGAGTGAGTTTGAAAGAGGTTGTTTCCCCGTTTTTAGTTAAGAGGGTTGGTGGTATAGATAAACAGCCTGACACGCAAGATAAACTCGAAATAAATTAGAGAAAAGTTAGAGAATATGAGAGGCCATACTATCTTTTAAGAACTCCACATTTATTGTGATGTAAAGCTATTATGTATGAATTATCACTTTTGTACAATTTCTCCAAAAAATATATTTTTGATGCTAGTGCTTGACTTCATTAATTTAGACTTTGTTGGCGGCTAAGTCAGTGTTCTGATCTGAAACTAAAACCTGAACAAGTAATTTGAATCATACCAAACAATAAAAAAATAATAATCATAGTAAATAAATAATATTAAATAACAAAATATACTGAAAAAATAATTTAAAGTCTTAAATTAAATAATTGTAGTTTCTTAATGGCAAGTTTTGATAATAGGTATGGGAAGCCACAGAAACACCTTTAAACAAATGATCAGGAGTCCGTTTGTTTCAGTAGTCTTATATATGACCATGACCTTTTGCAACTTTCAGAAAACACTGTTCATGCCTATGAAAGCTCTCATTATGGTACAGAAAATTATTCGTATGAAGATCATTCATTAACTTAGTTTCTAAGAAACGGCCAGAACAATTACAGTGTACTGAATAAATGCTTGCTTCAGCTTTAATCATTCTACAAAATTCTAACAAAATTTCTAATAAAATTTTGCTAATATTATTTTTAAGTCAATGCAGATTAATGGAGAGATCACCGTAATATTTACCCTTTTTTGTTATTTTCTTAGTAACGTTTTAGAAAGTTTAAGAAAAATTTGTTGTTATTTATCTCACTTGTCTAACTGCAACATCAGAACAAGGCCATGGAATTTTCATGGGAAGTACTGCAAGACTGCGCCTGTCCTTGGCAAGAGCCTCGAGCATCATATAGGTAAACAGTACGACTTTCCTCAGTTCTGCCTCCCAACGTTTGATGGAAAAAAACCCCAGGGCACGGGTCCGAGGGTGTTCTACCCTCTTCCCATACCACCAGCCTCTCCAGAAGACTTTCTCCAGGATTCCAAACCGGCCCTTTCGGTACGGCAGTCAGTGTCGCTAACTACTATCCCGGTTGGGCAGCTCAGAAAAATTTAAGAATAAATTTTTGTTAGTATATTATTTTTATAACAAATCAATGAAACTGTTTCTATATGATATACCAGATTTAATTAGTCAGTTGTTCTATATGACGAATTTTAGTATTTATTTACAAGGCAACACTTTAAATGATGGTCAAAACATTGCCGTTTGACCGTGCTGAAGTAGCGGGAATGAGTCGACATTGATATCTAAGATGCGATCCAGCAATGAGAATGGTAAGTATTTGATGCAATCATATATTTGTGTGGAGCATGTTGTATAAACAGGTGGCTCATGAAATGTCATGAATTCCAGGAACCCAATAAAAATTTGAATCCTATATATTTAATTTTAAAAACGCCACGTTGTATTGAAAGTTTAAAATTCAAGTGTTTTGCGCAGGTACAAGTATAAGTAGAATTGGACAGAACACCAGAATTTCACCAATATTCGCCGAACTTCACTTTCCCGAAATAGCAGTTTGCAAGATGGCTGATAAATTCCGGTTAAGTGTTAAACAGAAAGAAAAAGTTGTAATAGTGTTTGAGAAAAGGAGTTTGTGGGCGATACGAAGAATTTTCCGTTCACAATTTGGTACAAGATGGGATTCTTGCAAATAGACCATTTGTGTAGACTTGAAGCCACTAGCTCTGTGCTGAAAAAAAAAACCGATGTCGCCCATTAAGGGTTCAAATGCTTGAAAATGATAGCAGTTCTTTCTTGACATAGTGAAGCAAAATGGTGGAACATTGAACAAAATATGCATTAAACTCACTTTCCATATTCAGTGAGTTTACTATGCATTCATTTAATAATATTTAATTCATAAATAAATGAAAAAAATATGCGACATTTCCTGGGAAATTCTATCCATTGGCAGCTTCGTTAATTAACAAATAAGCTCAAAACGCAACGATATTCCAGTTTTTTTTTTTTTTTTTTTTTTTTTTTTTTTTTTGTGTGTGTGTGACGGGGAAATGCGGTAGAACTTCAACTGGTGGATGTTTATCTTTATTCGCAATATGTTATTAAGGAAAAAATCTTGACAACCTCTATGAAGAGTATATCGTATTGATGGATTATTCTGGTTCTCTATCGTCGAAGCCTTAAAGCAAACGTTGGACGCTTTTCAAGGAAAATCCTTGGAAATATAGCGTCACAAGCAGTTTCGACGTGCTCATCAACGGGATAATTGCTTTAATTTCTTCTAAACACGGCGAAGCTATATGATCATGAAGCCCTCAAAAGAAGACGTTTTGATCCACTACTGTATGCAACGCTTGAGTGCAAATAGTGAGCATCTTCATATTATGTTTCCAACGTATCAGAGATATATTTAATATTCTACTGTAATAAAATACATGACATAATTTTATACACTTTATATCTCAGAAACATAGTGGAAATATGTATAAACAATAAATAAATGTAGTCATTTTTACTTGAAAAACCGTTTAGAATTACCGGTACAAATGAATGACAAGATTTTTAAATTTATATAAATTCAAAGCTGTTTTTATCCACTGAAAATTCTGTCCATATTGCATTATAAAATTCACAAAAGAAATTCTTTCCAGAATTATTTGTTGAACAGGTAATCCTATTTTCTGATATTTTAAACAAAAGACTTGAATGATAAGTAAAAGGCTTAAAAACCACCAATTCGTCTTGACCTTCAGATTCACCTTGCAAGCACTCTACGTCGTAAGATGACAAAACTTTGTTTCAAAATCATTGACAGTGAAGGCCTGTATTTACGCATCGATTTTCCATCGACTCTGTTATTCATTTATTTACTTTTTAGAAGTGAATTGTTATTTGACAACAAAAACACTCTAGACGAGGAAGGATGGTAGTAGACTCTTCTTTCTTCTCCTTCATGTTTCACTCTCCCATACATTAAAAATATCTTTTTATAAAACAAGACAAGAAAAGCAAGGTTTAAAATCTACGTAACATTACTATGTGTCAGTTTTGTTTGGGTTGAGACTGTTTTGCAGCTGATGAGTAAAAATACAGAATTTTTAAACGTTTACATTTTCCGAGACATATTTAAAGTCAGATAAAATGATAATAAGTAACGCATCTAAAGCTGTATACTATAATACTATGCCCTTCCTTGAAAAAAAAAAAAACAGTTCTATGTCTCCTGTTCTATTGGACCGATTGTCGAGATTAAACTTGAGTTTTCCATGTCTCGAAAGTCCGACTTAGAATATATGTAAGATTTATATATAGCATTAATCTAAGATAGGTATTTCG